CCATCTTTGAATTAGTTAAATTATACATTATTTGTAACTTACAAATTTCTATAATGAAAATTTTTTTTAAATTTACAACTACATACAGGCAGTAAATGAAATTTTCTTATATTTCAAATATTTTTTTAAATCCATACCATTTTTCCAATCTAAAATTTTAATGTTAACTCCATCATTTCCTAGGTAGATCTTGTCTGAATGAGACACGACAGTCTTCAGACTGTGGTGCAATGGTCGAGCTAAACCTCGGGATGACTCTTCTTCCAGTGCATATAATAGCTGAAACCGTCTTAATCTTATAGTCCACACCTTGACCACACCATCTACTGATGTTGTAAACACCTGATTACTATCACTTGTCTGAAATACACACATAAATAACTATTTAATTAAGCTACTCTACCTGTTATGGTCATAAAATCTAACACACTGTTTCTTGGCATGAATGAAAACTTGTTATCTATACCACCAATCTTATAACATCAGAGAAAAGAAACTCCAAATCAAGTAGAAAAGCACAACATATTACAGTTTCATGAATTAAAGAGTCAGAAAGACAACATTCGTATTAAAAAATCAAAAGAAGATTCTCGTGTCTCAGTACTTACTGCTATACAAGTGACGTTTTCCTCATGACCATGAACCGAATGTTTAGCTTCTCCAATTACAACATCCCAGAGTTCAACTTTTCCACCATCTGTAGAGGTTTACATATATTGAATATGATGTTTAAGCCTTGAAATATATCGATAAAATTTCTTATTATACTGAAAAATATTCCTGGCTATTAGTATCACTCACTAACCATTCATATTTCTTATGTTAAACTGTATAAAACACTGTGTTGTCAAGAAAATTTGAGATATTTCACTGTTTCATAAGTAGCACTCAATGCATTTTATTTTTGGTATATTCAGAAACATTTTTATAAATATCCATACAGATGTTATAGTTGTAGATGGTTGTATCCTTGTAGACATGATACAAAATGTCATATATGTGCATTAATCAGACAAAGGTTACATTCCTCAATAATTGTTTAGTAAGGCTTATACTTGTTTAATCATATTTCATTGCTTCCTGGATTGTGATGTGTGCTCAAGTTGTCAACAATTCAGTTTTCAAATGCATTAATCAGAATTTAAAATAAAAATATTGCATTTTCCAGTACCAAAGCAAATTTTTGTCTTATAAAATTATGTATTTGTGATTTTCTAAGATAACTTTGTTAAATATACGCTACAAAACACGAGATTAAGCATAAAATTACGTAAGTTTAAGTTTAGCATTTCAGAAATGAAGCAAAATCTGATATGAAGTGTAAAAATAAAATTATTATAAGTATTCCTTTGAAAAATGTCAAATATCCTCACAAACGTCCCTCTCCTACTTTCAACATACTAATGATAAGTTAACATTTAGTACAGCAGAGATATGTCATGTAAGCCTTGTATTTCCTCAACTTAGAACATTGTCTACATTAGAAATAAAAGATTATAAATGATTGAGAATTGCAATTCATGTTACAAACATGAAATAGAGTATTTTTGAAAAAGTCATATTAATAAAAAAAAACAGCTGAGATAAAAAAAGGTAATATTTTTTACTTTACTCTTGTTAAACAAGTTTCTTGAAAGATCATATTAACACCACAAATACAGACAGTATTTTTATTATATTTGACAGTTTGTTCAAAATTATAAACATCTAGCAAATCATGATTTAGGCTAATATATTTGACAGTTTGTTCAAAATTATAAACATCAAACAAATCATGATTTAGGCTAATATATTTGACAGTTTGTTAAAATTATAAATATCAAACAAATCATGATATTAGCCTAAATAATTTGACAGTTTGTTCAAAATTATAAACATCAAACAAATCCTGATTTAGGCTAATATATTTGACAGTTTGTTCAAAATTATAAACATCTAGCAAATCATGATTTAGGCT